AAAAAAAAAAAAAAAAAAAGGCTGGTCGCTATGGGCCATAGCAACTTTTTGTCACTATAGCCCATAGCGACTTTAAGTAGCAAAAAAACAAATTTAAAAATAAAAAAAGCTAGTGTCGCTATGGGCCATAACGACATTGTGTCGCTATGGCCCATAGTGACACTAGCCTTTTTTTTTTAATTTTCATTTTTTTGGTTTATTGGATTTTTTTTTTCTCCAGATTTATTGTACTAGTTTTTTTTCTAAAAATTATTTTGTAATTCATTTTTTTTTTGTATTTTTTATTATTTCCATTTATATAAATAAATTCTGTCCCTAGAAATTTTTTTTTTTCATTTTTTATTATACACTATACACAATTTTTAAATAAAATATATCTGTTAAAAATTATTATATACTCAACATTCTAGTAAATTATTTTACAAAAATTTATTTAATTCCAATAAATTATTAACTTAATTTCTTTTTCCAAATTTTAATTTATATTATCAATTTCATATAAATATATATTTATAAATTTATTATTTCTATAATTTCTTTATTTTATACATATTTTTTTTCTTTTTTATCTATTTAAATATTTATAAAAGTGGCGCTATGGCCTATAGCGACACATAGCGTCACTAATTTTTTTTTATAAAATTATTAACTTAGTTTGTTTTTTACATTTGAATTTATTTTTTTTAAGCCGTTTGGTGGCGCTATGTGCTATAGCGACTTTATTTAAGCCGTTTAGTGGCGCTATGGGCTGTAGCGACTTTAAGTATATGACTTTCATGGCTTCCCTGAAGTGAAAATAATGTCACGTGTCACCGGTGTCGCTATGAGTTATAGCGACAATATATGGCTTTCATGGCTTCCCTGAAGTGAAAAAAATGTCACATGTCACCGGTGTCGCTATGAGCTATAACGATACTATTATAAACAATCCCAAAGGCGTAAATATTTCAAAAACAGCCCCATTTGCCTAATAAAGTTTTAAAAGAACCCATGGTCAAAAAGCCTCTATCAGAGGATGCAGCATTTTCCTAATTCACCAGGTTAATGTTTAACAAATTTTGGCGGGAAGTCGAAGCAACTCCTTTGTTTATTTTTCAAAAATTCTGTTAACATCCATCAAATTCTCAGCAACACCTGTGCGAAAATTGTGATTAAATTTCATATTTGTTTGTGAAGAAACGGAAAATAAGCAAAAGCGGGAAAATGGAGAACCCTAGCAGTAGTGAAAGATGGAACAGAGCAGGGATCGATGATAGCATGCTGGCCATGTTCGATGCCTCCGAAACCAAGGATGCTCATCAAGATGCCCTCGATGATCGTACGAATCACACTCTTTTTCTTCTTTTATTTATTTTTAAATAATTTTATATTTGTTTTATTTCTTCCCATTTTCACTTGACACCACCGCGTTTGTGCCCATGAAGAAAACCAATGTGTTTTGGCTAATTGAGCTTTTGGGTATTCGGAAAAATTAAAACTTGAGTAGAATTTGGTTTTGGGTTTCTTTTGAAAAAAAAAATCTATTTTATATACGAATGTTAAATGTCCTATTTTTATTTTTTTTTCTTCTGTGTTCATATATATGCAGGGATTACTTTTCTTGATGCTGTTCGTGCTTCTTCAATTGTGCCTGAACATGGAAAACCACCCACTTCGTAAGTCGCTCTCACGTGTGAATTTCTAAAACTGATGCTCCATTTCATTTATTATTTTTTCACATATATGGTTTATTCTCCTACTAGAGCAGGTTGTGTCTGAGAGGGTAAATTGTATTTTGTGTCTAATACTGTCTACTGAGGTTTTATTTTTCACTTGCCAAGAAAAATTTATGGGGCGATCTTCCACATGCTGAGGACAGGGAAGTCTTTAGAGTTGATTGTGGGAAGTTATAAGCTTCTAGTTGACTTAGACAAGGTATTTGGCTGCCACATGAGACATGATTTTCTATATTTATATTCATAGGTTCTGAGTGTAACTCATACCTTACACGTGACTTCTTTTTTGGGGGGGTTTAGCGCTTCCCTCGTGTGTATTTATCTGGCACGGATGATTCCAGGTCGTCATCTAACTCTTCATCAAAATTGGTTGTGGTTAAAGAGGTACAGATGAGTATAAGTCATCTCAATATGTTGTTTTTGTTCTATTCTGGGTAAAACTTGATTGGTAATATGGATGCTGATTGAACTTGCAAATTTAAAATATTTTCTGCTAGGCATGGTCTCCCATCATTGATTGCCCGGATAATGCTCATGCTGTTGGTGAAGCAGGTGACAAACGGTCTGGTGAACCTCTTGACCCCTCTGTGAGTTGGTTTCTTCTGTACTCTATATACTCCTATAGTGTTTTTAGTTCTTTCATTTAATTGCAACAGTTTTCCCTGTCATGATGTCATTTTTTCCTATCCTTATGTGAGCCAAAATAATCTAAGTATTTCTTAATCTTAACTTTTCTTGAAAAATTTATCGCTCTTGTGCATTTCACAGTATGATACAGGATTACTTCTTATTTTTCCTTAACTTTTTCTCTCTTTTTTATTTTTTGGCACATTCAAATTTCATTCATTTTTTTTATTACAAAATTTATGAAAATCTATTTAAGGATCTGCTCATATGATTGCTGTATTTGAACTAATATTATAACCAACATGTTTCTTTGTCTGTAAGTACCAAACTTTTTTCTCAAAACATTTCTATGAAATTGCACTCGGTGAAATGCACAGTGATACATCATATCACACGTGTCTACCTTTTACATGTTTAGTAGAAATTCATGCTAGTTTAGAGTACTGTATTGGCATTAGGCAAGCAAATAAAGTTATCCAATTCCGCCACTTTACTCTAGGTAATCTATACTAATTTTTATGTTGTTGCATAATATTAGAAAGGACAAACAAAATTTCAATAGCAGTTTTATGATTGATAAAAGCACTGCAGTTCAATGAACTTTTATACATTTTAAAATTTGTATTGTTTTGTTTATAAATTTCAGCCTCCACAAGGTTCTCTCTCAAATGTCTTCTGCTAAATTGCATTTTGATATTTGAATTTTTAAACTCGTTTTTGTTCTTTATGTTCTCCACCTACTTTAGAGCTTTCACGTCCTGATTGAAGAGCTCACTGAAATTTTTTCTGAGACCAAATTTCAAGCAGCAAGCATCGAGGTTAGTTCACCAATGTTGTAAATTCCTATCTGGAATATGTGGATACATGTTTTGCATCTGTCTCTTAGAGTAGAGACACTACTTATAATTTTTCATTTCCAGTTGAGGTTATAATATGTAGTCTACTGTTACCTATATTCTGCATTTGCACGTTTTAGATTCCATAGGGAAGTATCTAGTGAGAAAGTCATAGTCATTTTTATACAAGAGTAAGAGGAGCAAACTTAGCTGTTTAACCATCAACGGATGGTCAAGATTAAGTGCTAATTAAAGTCGCATGACTTTTATGTTTTAATCTTGATCAGTAAGGTCTAATGATCAAGATTTGCCCTTTTTACTCTCATAGAAAGAGTCCTCTCATCTGTTATGTCCCCTTTATGGGTGGATGGGTGTCTAATATCTTTACATTATCTTGTTGCAGCCCTTGAGGAACATGTTACTCTTTCAGTACCTTGTCATTGTTTTTGAGGATGATTTTCTACCTCGCAATGGTGTGTATGAAGTTAAACTCCTCTGCTGTCACCATGTCTTAATAAACTACTAATAAATTCTAAGTATCTGTTTTGTTGCAGCAACTTTGAACTGGAGCATGCAGAGGGAGTCTTTGCTCAGCCTGCTACTGGTATTTGTTTTATAAGCCAATAGTATATTGGTCATATTGTGTATAAAAAGATTTTGTGCGACTAACCAATCAACAATTAAACATATTGATTTTGGTGCTAAGTATGTGAGAGCTAATACTCTTCTTTCCATATGTCTTGTTGATGTAATCTTTATGCATCTTGATTCCGATCTGTCACCTTGAAAGATTTCTTTTTCCTTTTTGATTTTGCCGAAATATATATCTTATCTAGTTTTTGCAGGGATCTAGGAAAATAAATTACAAAGGCTTGATGAAGGATTGCATGGCAATTATTTGTCAACTATCTCAAATTCTTCAAAGTGAACTCAGTAATCATTTGGAGCTTCAAGAAAGTTCTGAATCTAAGTTATCCAAAAATTGTCATAGTGCATTGTCTCTTGCTTTACTCGGGGTTTTAAAGGACACGTGTGTCTCAATTGAGAAACTTTTAGTGATGGTAAGTTCATGAATAATTTTAGGAATGATTTTAGTCCTTGAACTTTTATTCATTTTTACTTTTAGTCCCTAAACTTTTTTTTTTACTAATTTTAGTTTTTGCCGATTTTCAATTTTAGACCTTAAACTTTTTTCCTATTCACATTTTTGGTCCCTGACGTCATGATTTTTTGTTTATGGAGGAAAAATGTAGGGTCTAAATCAAGAACTAAAAACATAATTAATCCATAATTTTATTCATTGTATATATGTAAACTTTAAACGAAGGTTCTGGTTCTTACATTCTAAGTGATTTTAGATTATGGATCTTGACATGGCAAGGAAGAAAGCAAATATTGAAGGTCACACTACGAGAGCGGACAGTCCAAGGTAATTTACTTTCAATTTTGTTTCTTTACAATGTAGCTTTCAGTTGATTTTCTTGTTTGTTTATAGGCCAATGCTCTGATGAATCACATGTGATATGGTATTTTGGTGTATTTGGTACAGAACACCCTTGATCGACATAATTCTGGATGAACTAGCTTACTACAAAGATAGTGTCCCTGTTTTTCTTAAGGTGGTTCCAAATACTGTCTCTCTATTCCTTTCACTCACTTCTCTTTTGTTGCGCATAACTGTTTGTACTTTGTATATGGGGTTAGATGAAGTAATAATGCATAAGATTGGGTTATGCTTTTCCTTTAAAATGCTTTGCTTGGACATACTTGCTGATTAACACAAAAATCAAACCAATCTCTATATAAGATACTAGGGTTTACCACTATCTACATTGTATTTATTATCTTATATCGGATGGATTGGCACTTCCTACTAGTGTGGTTACTAGTTAACCTTTCCAAGTTCATATTTCAAGTCACTTTTTGAGGGAGTTATCATGTGGCTGATAGTTTCTTTTGCTTTTCATGAGAATGGCTTCAGATCTTCAGTGAACCTAAATGGAAGCTGGAAATAGTTGTGCAATATCTGTGGAAATACATAACCAAGGTAATCAACGGGTAGACTGTTTTCAAATCTATCGTACTTGCTTAATGATATATATTTTTTTTTCCTCCTGAAAGGAGGCTCTGTTTGTGGTAGGCTAGTGGCTTTTGATAATCTCTTGATTTAACTACCTTTGTTTTATACGAAATTGCAGCCTTCTGTTCGCACTCGTAAGTCAAATGATTATACCGAAGATTCAACATTTGTTGGGGCTTTGAAGTGCTTTTCAAATAAAACTAGCACTAAGAGCTTAATAAAAAAAATTGGTGTAGATGTAGTTCAATTCCTTCTGGCTCATGGTTTTCAGGTACTTGTCTCCATTCAACAAATCAGTTCACAATATATAATGATTTAAACAACATATAGAAAAGCTATTGTAGAGGAAAGGAATACAAAGATTGAGGATTGTAATACAAACCAATAATAGTTTGGAAAAGTAAGGTTTTATTGATAGCATGAGATTGGACAGAATATAGTAGAGAGATGTCTCCTCCTAGGATTTCTCCTTTCACAAAGAGCAAAATTCAACCTGCAAATTGATACAAGATAGAATGAAGTTTCTCCCCTCTTACATTCTCCTATATTTTTAACTGCCTAACATCTTAACTTACTATGATAACTATCTTAACTAGTGGTCATTACTCCTAACTGATTGGTAATCCTCCTAAAGAAGAAACAAAGACGACAAAAAAAGAAGAACATCACAACTAAAGGCATACCAACCCCTTAGCATAATGGACTAAGAGTTCCCTTAATCCCAGTGGTGGGATATATTAACGACCACTTTGTTAGCTATTTATCTCATGGGATAGGGGGACTAACCAGATGTTTTGCCTTCTAATTTTTTCTCAGCATGAAACTATTAAATTTAGCTCTTCAGAATCTAAAGTATTAATTCACACCCCTTGAAAAATATACGAGGAGCTTCTATAACAAGTTCTTTTTTGAAATGGGTTTTTACTGGACTTCAGGCTCAATTGTCAATATTGTCAAAAGGAAATGCTGATGACAACATTGCTGGTAACAAAGAAGGGGGAGTCAGTGCTCTTGTGGATTTGTGTCATACTTTCATCTCTGCTTTTGATAATTTGAGAAGCACGGATGAGTAAGGGGACCATTTCTGATGATTTTAATTTCCACAATGCTTGCGTACTTTTTCTTAGACTGATTTGGGATATTATGGCCATTGATCATATTTATTTTCTAGCAAAGAATGATCGCAAATTTGTTGTGCGTCATGGTGCAGGCATATGGAGATATTATCAATAGGAAAAGAGGCACTATTTACTGCAGCAACTATTATCTCCATGAAATCATAGGAGTGTAAGTAAATTGATTGATTTGTTCCGTCGGATAATATATGATCAACTTATTCTGTCCGATAATAACTGCTTTGACTTGACAAACTCATTCTTTATGCAGAATCTAAGGCTTTAAAATGTATTGATATACTTTGCCTAGGGGGAAATTTTACATCTTGTCTAACTGAATGATAATGCCCCAAACCACTATAATAATTTCTGCTTGGGGAGTTAACTGTCTTCAAAAGACTCTTGTCAAATGATATCTTGAAAGTTGAAAGACATGAGTGTGAGTGTGACCCCTGATATGAAATGCTCGTGTTCAAAGATAAATTTAATTGCTGAAATATCTTGTGCTGAGAACTGAGAATGACAATCATTAATTGACATAGAACGACTATCAAAGTGAGTATATGCTACTCAACCTCATCACTAGATCTTTAATGAGTAATTCACGGCGACCCTGTTGAAATAACACCATTGTTTCAGTCTGTATATATATCTTTGATTTCAATTCCTAACGACAATAACCATGTTCAATTATTCATGTGTTTTAGTTTTGACATGAAAAATTCTATACTTAATAGTCATTTTTTTTATTTAATTCTATTTCAGGCTATGCCGCAGCACTGTATAGAAAAATACAGCCTCTTTTGTAGTCAAGCTTGGGCTGGGCTTATGTAGCTTGGAACCACGTGTTATATAAGATACACGTGTGCAGGTAGTCCCAACTGATGCATCATCTTGAAGGAGGTTTAATTTTTTACAATTGTTTGTTCAGATTTGACAACAATGCAGATAATGACACCATCTTTGAGATTCTTTAATCACATGATATGATTCATCAATTTTCAGGGCAATGTATTTTTTTTTTTTAATGAACATGATCTATGTAATATCTAAAAACTGATAATCAATAATTAATCTGTTCAATGTTTATAAGTATAAGAGTAATGTGTAAATTCTAATGGGTAAAAATAACATTTTTTTAAGATTAAAAAAATAGCATTGTTTCAACTTTAAAACCCATTTTCTCAACTCAAGGAATAGTTTTAAACAACCGGTTAAGTACAATATTGCCTCCAGTCTAATCGAAACACAATTACACAAAATGAAGAGAGAAAAAAGTAATTAAAAGACTAATGTTAACAAATAAGAATATTTAAGCAACTATTTCATTTATAACTGCACAAAACAATATTAAACTCCACGAAGTATGGTATGAGTTATAAATGCAAGAATTGCGTAAATTGCACCCCACTTTCACGTATGCATGCTACAATCTCTTCTCTTTTCCCCATGCCTTTTCCCTCTCACCACTTTCACCAAACTCATTTTGTCCATGGCCGCCACAAAAGCTTGAAAAAACTTCTGCTTATCCTTGGCAAGGTCTTGAGCAATGGGCCTGGTTCGTGGGTCCAAAGCCAAAGCCTGATCAGAGGCAAGGAGGCCCATCTTCTTCTGCAAGTTGGCATAATAGGCATGGTCAAATATGAATGGGGTAGTGGCATCAAATGGGGCAACAATGTCCGAATTTCCACCGAAGTTCGGACAATACATTCTAAGTGCATGAAGTAGTTTTGGGTCCATGTTTGGGTCCGGTTGGGCCTTGCCTCGGTAACTGTAGAGGCGGGCCACGAAGTGCTTGCAATGGGCAAACCCAATTGTGTGGGCCCCCGAAAGAGCAACGAGATCCTGTGTGGTTAAGCCTTTTGAGTTGAAGAGTTTGATGAGCTGATCAACGGTGGAGTTTGCACGAGGGATGTTGGAGGCCACCCTTGATGCCGTTGATATCTTTCCATCCCATCTTCCCTTCTTCACTTGGTAATACGGCCCTCCGGCCTGTATAACACGTTATATTATTTATAATTTATTTAAAATTAATATTTTAGCATGTTTATTATACAGGTAAAATATTTATTATATATAATTAAAATCTATAATAGATTATATGTACAAAAGTATATAAATTATGTTTCAAATTTGTATAAATAAATATTTTAAAATTATAAATTATGTTTTAGATTTAAAATAAATAATTTATATTGTGATACAAAATTATTTTTAATTATTGATAATTTTTTTAAGAATATTATTCATAAATAAATGTGATAAATAAAAGTTTGAAATTGATAAGAAATTAAAAAAATTCTAAAAATACAATTGTTCTTTAACAAGATTTAAGTAACAATAAATTAATTTAGGAAAAAATAATTAACGATATTCAACTACATATCATATGGAAATCAGTTGGAACCATTATAATATTAAATTTTGTGTTAGTAGTATATTTAGATGAAGACTTAAAAAATTGTGGAAAATTTCCACACTAATATTTATAACAACTTGATGGGATCAACTACATTTTCTTTCAATTAAATTTAAAATTGAAGTTCCTACAATATTCAGTAGATACAGGTTTGGTTTGGTTATAAATGGAATGTCATCAAAACTAAACTAACAAAAATTTCTACTTTGGCACTCATCAATTTGTTTATCACTACATAACCAAAAAACCCAACTAATCTTAATTAATTCAGTTTGGTTCGATCAGCTTCTTTTTCTTATGGACCTCTTTTTTTTTTTTTTTCTTCTTCTTAAAAAAACACTAATTTGTCTTTACTTCCCTCGCTTTCCAACCCATCAATCAATTATCTATGAAAACATAACCAAAGTAATAACTTATAAAATTGTATAAAAAATACTACATTAAAATACAATTATCTATAAACATGTAAATTACAAATAATTAATTTATTATTGCAAGATTTCTACTGATATGACAAAGAAAAGGACAACACTAAAACTTAGACCTAAGATTAAGAAGCAGCGATGTGTTCGATGCCCAAATAATCCAAACATATAAGTACAAAAGTTGGGCAATTTTGGAATCCATTATTGATTCATTATGCCCAAATAATACCAAGCAATTCATATGAGAATATGAAAACAATCCTCTAAATTGACTCTATGCGAATCAATACATGAAACAGCCACTCTGGTAACTGCTACAAAACTACAATTAATATTATAGGAAGGGCCTTTTACTTATTTTGATGCAGGAAAATGCTTCGACCAAGACCAACTTGTCCGTTTCCACATTCTAGAGCTAAATTAAGTTACATTGGATAATCTATCTCCGAGACCAGCCTGTTCCAATGCCTAATCAATTCTGTCTTTTTCACTAGGCCATATAACTGTTAGCTCTTTTGTTTTTTTTTTTAGAAAGATAAAAATGGGTATATTTTTTTTTTCTTTCAATTTTTCCTTTTCATTCTACAGTGAAAGAAGCTCTTTCCATCAACTAAATTATATAATGTCATCATGAGTGGCAGACAGATAGGCTGCAATTAATCTAGCACACCTTTTCTCAAGTACCATAAGACTTTGTGCCTGGATATTTATAACTTTTATTTTTGGCATTGGTATTTTATAATATAAACTCTTTTTCTTCTTCTATATAAGCAAAGCTGCTATGTAAGAGACAAAGAAGATATGATAAGTGAAAAGGAAGAAAATTTGAACTACCACTCAAAAAATAGAAAGCCTAATGTGGATTTCTTGATAGCCAAATAGCCCTTGTCTGTGGGCAGTTTAAGTGGACCACATTTGGTTATTTCAAAGACCACAACAACAACATTAATGATGCCTATGAAACTAAGAATGCTTTGGATTTGTATTGCATGTGAACTGATATGCCTGAATTAAGATGTGGCAAGAGGAAGAAACCAAAAGGCAGTGATGGAATGAAAAAATATAAAGATAACAGAAAAAAAAATGCATGGTTAGCATGCATAGGAATTGCAATGACTTACCAAGTGTACATAATCTCTGGCTGCAATTACAAGAATATCCGCACATGACACCACACCTGGACACTTTCTCTCCACTAGTTCCTTAGCCTTTCTCACAGTCTCAAAACCTTCCACCTTCAATTCTCTGTTATCCTCTGCATCCTTCTCTACCAACTGTTTGCTTCCAGGCTTTGATGCTATTAAAATTGATGCATCACACCCCTGCACTCACCCATTCAAGAATTATCATACTCCCCAAGAAAAAAATAAAGTTAGCATCACACCACAACATTCACCACCAAACATGGATGAACACCTAGTCATTTGTTCTTAAAAAAACATAACTAGTGGATCAACACTAGAAAATGAGCTTTTCTTTTTGGTTTTAAGACTTCAAATAATTTAGAAGAACAAGCCAATGCATGCATGCAAGTGCAAAGCTAAATTCAGTGGTGGTTCTAATTAGATAAATTTCTCTGTAAGTACTTGTAAGAGAAGAAAATAAGAAGGTAAATCATCAGTTAAAATTAACTTATTCGCACTTCAACTTTTGGATTATAACTCATTACTCATAAGTTTATCTAAATAGACTCTTATTCTGTGTGAACTTACTCCTACAAAGCAATCATGGAAGAGGAGGCGAATGGTTGCAGGGCCAGAAACAGGTGACACTTTGAATTGTTGAGAGGTGACTGAGCCAACAAGCTGTTCTAGCTGGGGGCATGATTTGGCATAGTAATTTACTGAGAGTTGGCGATGGGGGCGTGTAGTGTTTGCATGTATGGCTAAGCATGATGAAGTTCCACTCAAAGTGAAGAAAACACAGAAAGATGTGAAAAGGAATGAAAAAGCAGAAGAAGGGACAGACATGATGGGGTAGTTTAAGGACAAAGAAAGGGGAGAGTGGTGTGTTGGAAGATCAAAAGTGAAGGCAAAGTTGAACTTAAATGTTTTCTTTTTTTTTAATGGGTTATGGGATATAGATTGTCAAATCAGAATAAAGGGGTTTAAAAATTATAGGGAATCATTTCCCGTGAGCCTCATAGAAGAGAAAAACGAAGCTGAATTAATTTCTGGTATCTAAATGCAGAAAGGTCCTGACAAGCCAAAAAAAGAAATAAAAAAATCCATAAGACATCCCCTTGAACATCTTTCAAGGAGATTTGAAGTCCACCCACCTGATAATACCACATTTTTTGTTCAATCATAATGGGTTTATGCTTATAAAACGAAAAAAAATAAATTATAATGGGTGTATTTTGGTCTATTGAAAATGTAGGGTCTACCTAGATGCATGATGTCTTTTTTTAATGATATTTGAACTTTCTCTAGGTTGAAATATTAAGTGATGGTTGATCAATGCGAACTGTGAACATTTGGAAACAGTAAAACTGGAAAAGATTAAACTAGTAAAGAATGAGGACATAAACTACCCTTTAAGTGTACCTCAACTTGTGGTAAAATATTAATTATAAACGTGATGATGAGATTCATTCACATGTGTGTATGCAATTGATCTTGATCGTTCATGATTGTCGAGGTTGAAATTATATTGATTGATGGGGACTTCCTAGCATAAAATATCAAACAACAATTCATTTTCTAGCTCATAAAATTGTAACTTTTAATTATAGGAGAATTAGAAGCACCGAATTTGATACGGATACTTGACATGACATGAACATGTATATCAAAACATAATAAATGTCTAAAATGTAGGATGTGTATATATAAATTTTACAATTTTTATATTATAACGAATCTTAAAAGATGGATCATGTTTCTTAAAAATTAAAATATCAAATAATTCTTATAAAAATGAGTATGATAGATAAAAAGAAAATATTAAGAGTTTTACAATATTTATGAACAAGTTAACTTTTTAAATTTATTTTATAATAAGAAAGTCAATTCTTCATAATAGAAAGGTGTTAAAATTATGTCATATAGATGTCTAAATGACAAAAGTAATTTTTAATTGTAACGTAATATAAATGTATTACACATCATGTAAATATATCTAATAAATATCGTTTCAGAAACATGTTCAAACGTATACTAACAAGATATTCTATAGATGTATTTTCATATTATAGTTTACAATTAATAAAATTATATGAAATTGTGCAAATTGATACGGTGATAATTACAATTGCAACACAGTTGCATAAACTTCAAAAATGAAATTTATAATTATAATTACAACTTCAAATCGTAACTTAAAATCATGCCAAACTAATAAATAATAGTGACATTTGGCATACTAAGGACTTTGCAAGGAGATGGAGATGGAAACAACATAGAGATTTCTATTGTTGTATGGCACATATATTTCTCTAAGGCTATCTTGTTTGTGTTCAATAGGATTATTAAAAACGATATAAACTTTTTTTTCAAATATTTAACACATATATAAATATAAAATTATTAATAAATGATATATTAAAATAATTTCATATAATAATTGTTTCACCTACCGATTGGTAAACAGAGATGATCTACGACTACAAAGGACAATGATATTTGCACGTTATGGTCTCTAACAATATTTTGTGCACTACTTTTAACCTTTCGTACAAAACTTGTTTGAGAGCCAAGTGCACTGTAAAACGTAATAGAGTAAACAATAACATAAAAGTACCATTTTCAATGTAGCTAAGAGCTCTGAAGCAGTAATTGGATAGAGTGAGTGAACCCCACCAACAGCACCTTGATGTAGCCATTGCATGAGTTAATAAATGCAAAGCATGTGCAAGCAAAAGGGCCACTAGATTATAAATAAATGAAGGTCTTGAGAGCAATAACTCTAGTTTACTTGCTTCTCCATCCCTTTGTGTGCACATAGAGGACTAAGTACTGAGTTGCTTTTCCCTTTTCAGGTTGGTCTTAAGTGGGGGGTGCCTTTTGTTGTGACCACATTAAAAAGATGGAGGACCTTCATCTCACCAAATTCATTCATCCTCTATGTCACCTTAGTATACATATTTTTTCCTACTTCAAAGTTGAGTTTCGAGAACTCGCGAGAGTTAACAGGTTTTAAAACTCGGAGTATTTAAAAATATTTACATGCAGTATTATCTATTAACAAAGTCTTCATGTTGAATCATTGATAATGAAATCATTGTTATGTTTTAATGAGATATGAGTAAAGCTAGCATTGCAAGGTATTACTTTGTCATAGCAAGAATTGTGAGCATTCAATGAATGAAGTGAGCGTGATATATACAGCTTTTGAGTGGGCCTAACCCTTTACTTTTAGAGTCAACTGTCTTGTTTTTCTAAACAAATCTTTATTGTTTCAATGCTATAGTGACTACTTGTTGCCTGTTGAAATGTGAATGCCATGTTTGTGATCTCGCGTGGGCAATTAAAGAATCACTGAGGGTACCCAAATAAGGTTATTCAATTAACCAAGCCTTAATGATTAGATTGGAAAACGTCATTTAAGTACCAAAAGCAAGGGCAAAATACCATCCCAAAAAATATATGTCGTTGATCATTCGATATATAAAAACATAAAATAAAATTTGTGTGTGTATGTGTGTGTGTGAGAGAGGCTTAAATAATCATATTAATATATATTTAGAAATTAAAATATTAAATAGTTGAGTTTAAGGGCTTAAATAAAAATTGGAAAATTTTAATGACTTATTTAGAATTTTTTATTTTAGGGATCAAAGTTTTAACAACATATATTTTTACGGATTCAAATAGTATTTTATTTTGAGAGAAAATTCCATGAAATAAGAAAATTAAATAGCAATAAACGGTGAAAGATAAAGAAATTTTTAGGTAGTGTTGAGATAATAGATTTCAAATTTTCAATATATATATATATATAGACAATTTTTTTTTGTATATAATATATATATATATATATATATATAAAAATATTTTTGTATTATATATATATATTTTTTTAATTCTTTCCTTTTCCAGTATCAAATTAAGATTCCAGAGAGTGTTTTTGCCTTTTATTTCAAATTTTTCTAAGGTTCCAAGCTATAGAAAACGAGAATACAAATCAGCCAAAAATTAGGTCAAATTTCAAGTGAGAATGATAAACTAGTGCACTAGTTTTAGGTTTTGGTTTGGATTCTTTTTGAACTATTTTGCTTTTCAACTTTTAGGTCTTTTAGGCTCTGTTTTCATGTGCAAGCAAAAGGGCCACTAGATTATAAATAAATGAAGGTCTTGAGAGCAATAACTCTAGTTTACTTGCTTCTCCATCCCTTTGTGTGCACATAGAGGACTAAGTACTGAGTTGCTTTTCCCTTTTCAGGTTGGTCTTAAGTGGGGGGTGCCTTTTGTTGTGACCACATTAAAAAGATGGAGGACCTTCATCTCACCAAATTCATTCATCCTCTATGTCACCTTAGTATACATATTTTTTCCTACTTCAAAGTTGAGTTTCGAGAACTCGCGAGAGTTAACAGGTTTTAAAACTCGGAGTATTTAAAAATATTTACATGCAGTATTATCTATTAACAAAGTCTTCATGTTGAATCATTGATAATGAAATCATTGTTATGTTTTAATGAGATATGAGTAAAGCTAGCATTGCAAGGTATTACTTTGTCATAGCAAGAATTGTGAGCATTCAATGAATGAAGTGAGCGTGATATATACAGCTTTTGAGTGGGCCTAACCCTTTACTTTTAGAGTCAACTGTCTTGTTTTTCTAAACAAATCTTTATTGTTTCAATGCTATAGTGACTACTTGTTGCCTGTTGAAATGTGAATGCCATGTTTGTGATCTCGCGTGGGCAATTAAAGAATCACTGAGGGTACCCAAATAAGGTTATTCAATTAACCAAGCCTTAATGATTAGATTGGAAAACGTCATTTAAGTACCAAAAGCAAGGGCAAAATACCATCCCAAAAAATATATGTCGTTGATCATTCGATATATAAAAACATAAAATAAAATTTGTGTGTGTATGTGTGTGTGTGAGAGAGGCTTAAATAATCATATTAATATATATTTAGAAATTAAAATATTAAATAGTTGAGTTTAAGGGCTTAAATAAAAATTGGAAAATTTTAATGACTTATTTAGAATTTTTTATTTTAGGGATCAAAGTTTTAACAACATATATTTTTACGGATTCAAATAGTATTTTATTTTGAGAGAAAATTCCATGAAATAAGAAAATTAAATAGCAATAAACGGTGAAAGATAAAGAAATTTTTAGGTAGTGTTGAGATAATAGATTTCAAATTTTCAATATATATATATATATAGACAATTTTTTTTTGTATATAATATATATATATATATATATATATGAAAATTTAATTGCATTAATTAAATTTACTTTTATCATATGCAAAATTTATTTTTTATATTACTTAAAATTCTTTCATTTTAAGTTTTATTTGATTTTTTATTTTATTTTAGGTGTTCTTTTATTCTATTACAAGGATTCAATTATCATTTAATATAATTATATTTTGACAATTTGATTAATAGTTTTTTCCCCTTTCCTTTAGCATTGGAAATTTTAGTGGATACTTACGGTGTGAGTGACATAAAGTTTTGTTAATCTTTTTTGTGAAATTTTTAGGAGGGGGAGAGACTTTGATTTTGGTAGGAAATTTTTTTTTTTTTAATGTCTCAAGTTGATAGTGAAACCATGGTAATAGATCTGCGAGTTAAGAACTCCAAGCATATGGTTCAACGGTAAGGGTTGATTCATGCTTAAGCAAGATCAGGGGTTCGAATCCTGCCTTGTGTATGCAGTCGCGTTAAATCTTGGGGCCAGCTATCCCACCCTTTGAGGTGCCTTCAACGTAGCGAGAAGATTAGTTACTGCTATCGGCGGTGAATACTCCAAGGACGAACCAAAAAAAGATCTATGAGTTAAGTGTAATGAAACAAAATGAATTTTGTGAACACTCTTGATGTCTAAATCGGGAAATCCATAGTTAAGGAAAAGCCGAGGATCGTTCCGGTTTTTGGTTTATAAATATAACTTTTAAAATAAAATGTGTTCATAACTGATTTTTAACTTAATTTTAAAATATTTTTATGTTTACTTTTAA